GCAAAGGAGAGAGACACTGAGGAACAGACCCAGCTGGCTCTCGATCTCGGGTTTCAGAACTTGCTGCTGAGGCTGCCTGGTTGGAGGTTTGTGGCAGAGGCTCCATGCATGACCTGTCCCCTGAGAGGGTGCGCTCGCCCCTCCCCCTTGGCACCTCCCTTGGCCTTGCTACTTCCTCCACACTGCCCTGCAGTCAAAGGAGAGGCCCGGGCAGTGCTCCTCGGGGGAGACAGGAGACTGCAGGGCAGGGGGCCTGGGCGTCTTCACAAGTAGCTGCTTCAGTGGGAACATCTAGAAATCTGTCCCCGAGCTAAAGCCACTAGTCTAGAAGGCAGAGACCCCCTCTCCTGTCTCGGGGACGACAGTGAAGGGGCCATCCTCAGCCCTGCGCACACATGGAACCGCTGTGCTCCAGCCGTCTGTGCAGGACTTCTGTCGGGCACACCAGTCAGCGCTGCCCGGCCATCGTCACCATCTCTGCAGAGGGAGGATGGTTGGGCACTCTGAGGAGCTCACTCTACCTTAGGATACACTGGGCGACAGCTTGCATCTCCGCTCGCCCATACGTGTTTACATTCCTGATGACAGTTTTTCTGACACACAGACTCTCTTGAGGAGAAAGCTGAGAAAGTGACTGACAGTTTCTCTGTGTCCGACAGCTTTTTGGACCAAGCCCAGAAAAACGAAGTGTTTGAAGAAGCTGCTTTGGCATTTTGATGCCAGGCCGGCAGGGCAAGCTGTGAAGCCACACGAAGGTGGGAGCTCCTTTTCCCTGCCCTGTTGAGGCAGTCTTGGGGTGTCACAGTGGCCATCTGGCCTGCTGGAGGAACCCTTCCCACCAGCACTGAGCTGAGGAAACTTGTTAATACACGTGGGCTAGCCATGGCATTGCTGCTGGCCTGCTGGGGCCTGCAGAGACACTGTTGTCTCTGGGCTCTTACAGTATAGATGGAGAAATACAAGGTCAACGTTGTATGAAGACCAGTATTGCAACAGACACTGTCAAAGAGAGAGATTCTGGAAGCATGTGGTCATTAGCCAACGCGTCCAGTCAGAGCGGCATTCCTGTAGGTGAAGCACCCCCTTCTGTTGGACCCTCTGCAATACACAAGTCCGACCATTCCTTTCATTTTCTTGTGGACTCTCTGGAGACCTTCATGGGCAGGTCCTTCCTACGAGGCCTCAGGGTAGAGGGATGTGCCCGTGGAGGAGGTCCAGGTGCCATTGTTGAACTTTGCTCTGTAGTAGAGGCTGCTGATTAAGGTCCTGATTAAGGTGAGGGAGACCCCGAGGGGATTATAACCTCACATGGAATTAAAGATAGCATGAAAACAATAGGGGATGGATGGGTATGTGCACCTTTGTATTCCACTGTAAAACCACATTTATATTCTATATGGTACGTGGACATTATTAATCCTTAGCGCGTACACACTGCCAATGGCCTGTGTGTTCTGAGTTAACTCGGCTTCTAGAGGAGTATGGACAGGGCTTATACCAGCAAACACTGACTATATTCAGGGTTCCATGAAGTGCCCGTGTCCAGACATTTGGAGCATAAAGGAGCGCAAGAGATTAGGTAATGAGAGGGATTCAGGCACAAGACTCAGAGATGTGTCTGAGAAAATCTCATCGCTAGGCATGGGGTACTTCCCTAGAAGTTGTTATCCAGAGAGGCCCCAAAGCCTCTCCAAAAGTATAGGTTGATTGCCATCACTCTTGGTTGCCTACCAGTGCTAGACAGTAAGGCTTTATTGCTGAAGACACAACACACTTTGGTTTTAGGACACAGAGAAATGAAGCTCAAACTCACCTGAAGACTTCCTCCCTGCTAGCTAGCACTCACTGAGCTAAAAGGTGTTGTGAAGGTTGCAGGGGGTCAGGGGAGGGCAGAAAAGATAGCAATGCTAAACCTTTGGACATCCCTGGATCCTGTTACATCAACCTGCCAGGAAAGATGTGCCCACTGGTACAATATTGGCACAAAGGGTATGGGGGTAACCAACTGCTTTTGAACCATTAGGATTTGAAGCCTACTCCACCCAAGGGAATTCATGCCTGGTACCATAAACTTTGCCAAAAGCCAATGACTGGAGAGATCATAGACCTTAGCGGGAACCTACTACGGTTTTGCTATGTTGTCTAGCTGCATTCTGGCTGTTGATGTTTGTATTCGTCAGTCTTGGCCAGAGAAACTTCTCTGTGCAATGGTCACTGGTAAATGCAGAGACTCATCACTTTTCAGAGTGCTGAGAATAAATTACTATTGAGAGCCCAGCCTTAAATGGGACATTTACATCTACACACACACACACACACACACACACACACACACACTCACTCACACACTGCATGGCTCAGGAGCATCATGGGAAAGGGGGCAGGAAGAATGTAAGAGGGAATTGTTGTCTTCTGGGCATGGCGTGACCAATTTCACCCACAAATTCAATGGAGCTGTGGTGACTTGCACAAGACCTGGGTAAGATCAAGCCAGCAAGAACAGTCAGCATTCCAACTGGCAGCACCAAGTGGGCACGGTGGTTCCTGGGAGCTGGTTGTTGGGGTGTGTAGGGTCCAGTTTACATGTTTGGAATTGCCCAAGGTTAACTAAAAATGTTCCTTACAAAATATGGCTGACCGCTTGGCCAGAGGAGCAGGACTGACCCCCTGAAGTCCGTCTTTGTCCCCACTTCTCTGTAAAGCCTACTGGGTGGGAGATGGTATGCTAAGGTTGCTGTTTTCCTAGTCATTAACCCACTGCCAACTCAGTCTCAGGCTCGGCTCCTCCCTCTGCCCCTTGTGGCCAAGAGCAGGAGCTCAGGACCAAGCTTGGCAACACTTGAACTTTGGATGTAGTCTGGCTCTGATTTTCCACCATCCACTGCCAGGTGCTGAAAACTTTGGCTGCTCTGTGGTGGGAGTTGGGTCTCCAGAAGGGAGCTCCAGCCACCCCCAAAGGATGTCTCTGCGTCAAGCCAGTGGGTCTCAGAGGTCCTACCAGCCAGGTTAAGCTGGACCATGATGTAAAAGAGACACTCCCCACATCCCAGGGACGTGTTCCTTGACATCGGGTAAACACTGGAAGGCAGGTGATGGCAATGGGGGGGGTGTCCTATGGACAGGGGAGGGGGAGTTCCTATGGACTGAGGCTGCTGCAGAAGCGTAGTTGGCAGAGGAGAGCTTCAGCCTGTCATGTCCTTTTGATTGCAAACCACTCTGCCTGGTGGTGAGCCTTACGTGCAATGCTGGCCTACTGTCCCTCCAGCAGGCTGTCACCAAACTATTAATTAAGGCTCAATACAGTAGAAATTGTGTATTTTGAATAGCCTAAGATAGTGATAGGTCACTAGGGGAAACTTCTGCCTGAGAATGGCCAGGAACTGGATGTGTCTTCCTTCTTCAGGGCTGAGTCCATTCCAGCATACATGGGCAGGCCTTAGGATGGAGACTTTGGGGGGTTTTGCTACCTGTGAGCTCTCTCTGCTTTCAACTTTCTCAGCCAACTGTGAAATCCAATTTAGAACTCAGCCAGGCCTGGTAAATCCACCTTCATCTGGGTGTCAGCAGGGTAACAGCAGCCTCAGATGGTTCAGAGAGTAAGGGAACATGCCATCAACCCTCAAGGCCTGACTTTGACCCCTGGGCCCCACATGGTAGAAGGAGAAACCTGAACGCCATACACATGTTGTCCTCTGGCCTTCACACATGCATTGCACACACACACACACACACACACACACACACTACATACTTTTAAAAACTCAGAAGCCAAGTATGAGTTTTTTTGTGTTTTTTGGGTTTTTTTTAATTGTTGGAACTAAGAGAGAGCAAAGTCAAGGGAGGATGGAAACAGAATTTTAAAGAAACAAACAGAAACCAGGGTGGCCCTGCCTTTGCCAAGAGTGTTGGATAAACAGGGCAGAGGGATGGATGGGTTGGAAACTGAGTGTGCCATAGCTGTTGGAAACGGGACAGGAGGAAGGAAGGGCTGGTCTCCTCAGGGCTGTTAAGTCCTCCTCAGTAAAGCTCAGGGTTTTGTTGCGATGTGTTATGGATGACAGGAGGGGTGTGTGTGTGTGTGTGTGTGTGTGTGTGTGTGTGTGCGTGTGAGCGCGCTCCAGGTCCCAGGAACCTGCCTTCTTTTCGCTGGACCAGCCTGGAGTTTATCTGGTCCCCCATTGTCCCCCTCCCCCAGCTGTCCTAATGGAGGGTTAGCGCTCACATTCTCTAGGAATGAACTAATGATGGCCTGTGAGGCTTCCACATCTATTTCTCAGGGCATCAACAGGATGAGCAGAGATCCCAGAGGTGGAGGCGGGTGGCTGTACTGGGCCCACTGAACCTAACTTTGAAACGTTGTCCAAGGCTGCCCTGGGCCTTGCTGAAGGGCATTCTCGGGCGTGACAACTCAAGTCCCTGCAGCCAGCCCAGATTCCAAGGCCTCCCAGACCAGAGTCAGTTAAAGCGCCTTGTGGCATCGCCTGCTGGCTGCAGCTTTAGGTGACCCCACATAATCACAGTTTCTGGGGTCTCACTACTGATCCATCAGGTCTGGGGAACTCCAGTTTTAAGACACCTACTGGGCAGTGTCATTTCCTACCAGAAACATCCAGAATGTTCGCACACTTGTTACCTTTCTGAATCTTTGGGGGAAGAAGAATCTGTTTTATCAAAGTCCAGGATGGCCTTTGGAAGATGGGTTCTCAGTCACATCTTGTCACTGAGGGCTGTCCAGTGCCTCCCTGGAATCTTCTGGAATGAATGGGCTACTTAGGCCTACCGAGGAGAACCGAGGAACTGATACAGTTTGTCAAGAGGATGGTCTCAGGCCTGGGAACATTCAGAAGTGGTAATAACCCACCCCCTCCCCCACCAAACCCCAGTGCTTTTAGCTCTTAGGGGATCAGACTCGATCCTACTGGTCGTTAGGCATGGCCCGTGAGTCAGAAAATCCAGCAGTGCAAAGTCCTCACCCCCCAGGGGCAAGGAGGGGAAAGGGCCCTTCAAAAGTGAGGCAAGGCCTGTAAAAACGGCCTCCAGGGGTGAATGGCCCTGGGCGCCAGGCTGAGCTGCTGCAGCTGCAGCTGGGTGGGCCTGTAGGCGACGAAACTGCTGTAGAGAGGGGGTGCTCCCTCGGGGGGCCTCATGGGGACCAAAAGGGTCTGAGGGGCCAAGGCTCTCCGCGGGCCCTGATAGAGCTGGGACCTGGGAACCGCGGGTGGGATGGGGGTCAGGGCACTGCCCGGCCTTGGGGATATGGGCCGGCTGTGGTTGAGGGGATTGCTGTCGGAGGACAGGCTGCTGAAGGGGTTGGAGGAGGTGCGGCCACTGGCAGAGCCGCTGCTGCAACTGAGGCGGTCATTGGCGGCTCCCTTCGGGACCGGGACCGCTAGCTTCGGGGACTTAAGGCCCATCACAGGCTTGGAAGAGGCGTAGAGGCGTCGGAACTCCTCATCAAACAGCTCGATAGCCCGGCCGGTGAACTTGGAGAGGATGTTTCTGTGCACATGTCCACACAGCCAAGAGAAGCTGGAGGGGAGAGCAGACAGGGCATCATCAGTGTTGGGTTTGTGTGAGCCGCTCACCGGGGCCACCTCGGCACAAGCAAGCACCTGAGCAGGAGCCCTGATAATTGGTTATGGAAACCCTGCATATTGTCTCCCCCTTTGCAAAAGGCAGCACTGAGGCCCGGAGACCTGGACATGCTTGAAGATGAGTCATCAAGGTGTCAGAATAAGTCTTTGGCTTCAAAGTTCCTAACACACCCAGTGTATCCATCCATCCATCCATCCATCCATCCATCCATCCATCCATCCACACTCCGTGTGGCCTGTACGCGCACACACACACACACACACACACACACACACACACACACACACACACACACACACACACACACGGAGACAGATAGCCACCCTAAGGGCCAGAAAATGGCCGAGTGTGAGCTGAGTCTGCTCTACCTCCATTCTCCTCAGAGGAGTCACCTGATGGAGCTAATATTGGGGGTCTTCAGTGTTCCTGAACCTGTAACACAGGAACCTGCCTCCCTCCAACATCTGTCAGCTAGGAGAACAGCTTCCCAAGCAGGCAAAAGGGGACTGAGCGTTGGATGCCCCTGCTGTGTTTCCATGGGAATCTAGACTGCCCTTCAGGCCCGGAGGGGCAGCACTGGCGTTTTATCTCAGCGCTCAGGAAGTAGAGGAGGAATGATTGTGAGTCCCTGAGTCTCAGGCTAGCTGCATCACCCCAATGAATGAATGAATGAATGAATGAATGAATGAATGCTCTTGAATGAGGACTTAGCCCATTTTGCTCCTTGAGAATCGCACAATGGAATGCAGGGTGAGCCCACAGGAACCCCCTGGTAACTACAGCTGCAATTTATGAGAGAAAGTCCCCCAGACATCCAGGGATGGACACCTTCAAGGAAGGTCTTGGTTTGAAGTGGAAACAAAATACCGGAGACATTTATGCCTTCTTTTTATGAGTTTCTTATTCTAGCAAATGCTTTTCCATTTTGGACGGGCAACCTCGATTTCCTGAGAAGCTGAGAGCAAGGGAGATTCCCGCCAAGAGAAGGCTGGGGGTCCCAGGCTGCTTACCCAAATGGGCCACCGCTAGGGCAGGAACAGTGAACAGTGTAGGGGAAAAGTCCAGAGTCCCCGAGGTGTGGGCAGTGCCTGAACTGATGAGAGACTCTGCTCCTGCCCTCTGCCTGCCTCACCAAGCTGCAATGGCCCAGTGGGGCTCCCTGTACTGTGGGCAGGCCCACACAGGCCAGGATAATCCTTGGAACAATTGGGATGCTTTCTTTAAACGTCTCCTCCCACCCAGGAGCACCCAGAGCAGAGATGCCGGCCTCTGAGGGCTGAGTGCAGGCCAGCCTGGAGGCAGGGGAGGAGGTGAGCAGTCAGCCTTGCCGCCTTAGACTGGGAAACCAATCTTGCAGGGTTGTTTGGTATCAGACAAGATCAAGACACATAGGTGTGTACCTTGTTCCACAAAACATACCCAAAGACGCACCTGGAACTTCTTAGTACATGCAGCAAGCCTTTAATACAGTTAGTCCTCTTGCTGTGGTGACCCCCCAGCCTTAAAATTATTTCCACTGCTATCCATAAGTGTAATCTTGCTACTCCTATGAATCATAATGTGAATATCTGATTACAGGATATCTGATGCTCAGTTCCCAAAGGGGTCCCAACCTACAGTTTGAGAACCACTGTCTTAGGCCGGTCATGCCCCTCCATCCCCTGTGTGTCCTACTCACTCTGCACCTATGTTTTACGGGGCTCATACACTTCTTTCACCAAACTCAGGGGAAGGAATGACTTTTGCTGTTTGCTGAGTTTAGTAGCCCACTCTTCTTCCTGGCCTATTGATGGCCTATTTAATTAATGTGTTTATTCTTTTTCCTGTTTTACATAATGTTATCAGCGCTGCCGGAAATGAAAGCTAGCTGCCTTCAATGTCTTGTTTATTATCGTTGTGCATGTGTGTGTGATACAGGCAGCGTCTGCGGTGTGCATGTGGCAGCCGCTGGACAACTTTCGGGAGTCTGCTCTCTCCTTCCCTGGCTGGTTTTGGGGACAGAACTCGGGTCATTAGGCTGGCATGACAAGTGCCTTTACCCAGTGAGCCGTGTCACCAGCCTAGCCTCTGGATCCCAGCCCACACCTAGTCTTCCCAGCATCCTTGTCCTAGGGCCCTGAGCTAGAAAAGTCAGTGTAACGTGTCCCAATGACTATAGCATCTGTGTTAGTTACCCTGTCATTGTCGCGACCAAAACTGCCAGAAATAACTCTGGGACAAGAGCTTTGGTTCTGCTCACGGTGGCGAGGATTTCAGTGAGTCACAGGGAAGGCATGGCAGCGTTCCCGGAGGCTGGAACTTGTGGTGGAGATGTTCACATGGTGGTGGATTAGGATTAGGAAGCAGAGAGAGGCAGCCAGAGCCGGGGCCAGGCCATAACCCTCAAAGACGAATGTCATTTAGCCTAGTTCCACCATGGAGGCTCCACGCCTACAGGCTCCACAGCCCTCCAAACAGCACCACTACCGTAGAGAATCTACACCGGAACCACAAGTCTATTGGGGACATTTTTCTCAAACCATACTACTAGTCCCTGCTTTCCTAGTCCATAGTTAGACATAATGCTTTTATACTTCTATTTATTCTTAAAAGCAAAAGTTTTATTTTAGTTGTTTCTTTTTTAAACATATACACAATCTCCTAGGATTTTTCTTTTAATATTACATTGCTAAGATGTATCCACTTTGTTGCTTCTTGCTGTACACTTTTGACCGGCACATGCTATTCTGTTGGCACTGATTAGGCAGGCATCAGGTTGCTCCTGTCATCAACTGTACTGTTTTACATTTCCCATATGTGTATCCCATGTACACGTGAACAAGTTTCTCTTGCTATATTCCTGGGACTACAACTGTCAGGCAATAAGAGCTGGATGCTCACCTTGAGGGAAAATCCCAAACACCTTCCAGAGCCATCCTCTAGAGCAAAAGCATTTCACATTTTCAGGGTTTAAAACCTTCCCTGGTGTCACAGGCCTATAATCTCTGCCCCTTGGGAGGCCAAGGAAGGAAGGCAGAGGAAGGAAGGCAGTTAATTTTGATCTCGTGTCGAAATTCAAAGTAAAAAGAGGGCTGGGGACGAAGCTCTGCAGTAGTGCATTTGTCTAGCTGGATGACCACCTGGGTTTGCTTCCCAGGGAAGAAAACCAAAAAGACCGTTCTTGGATTTTCACCTAACCCTGCACACCCCAGCATGCTTGCATCCCCAACCAATGCAGGGCAACATGGACTCCGTGGAACATCCCATTCATCGTCTTCTTATCCCACCCTCTTCTCTGTAGCCCAAACAGGTCCAGAGTAAATAGCCCGACTCTTCCCTTCCCCAGACTAAGAAAGAGCTTCTAGACTTAGACAACTTCCTAGGGGAGGCCTTACCCTCTCTGAGGAGCAGATGGGGGGGGGGAGTAGAGGGAGCCGGAGGAGAGGAGGGAGGGGGAACTGGGATTGGCATGTAAACAATAAATTTAGGAGAGAGAGAGAGAGCTGCTAGCGTTAGGGCCAGTGGACATATGCCCAGTGTTACCTGTGCCTGCTGCTCTGCTGGGTACACACTGTCTCGGGAAACCTGGCCCTGCTCGCGGGCACCGTCCTCCAGTGAGCCCCACAGAAGGGATGAAACTCAGGAAGGGGCCTCTTCTCCTGGAATAATGCTCCACAAGCCATTACATTAATGTGCTCATAGTAATCTAAGTGTTTTTCTTATTCACCTGAACCCAATTGGAGAGGTCAGATCACTCTGGACAGGAGATCTGGGTGGGTTGGGCTGGTGAAACAAACTCACTGTTTAGCAAACCCTACCTGTAGTTTTAGCTAGCACAATACATGACAATGTACACGTCAATTGGTTGTTTTGAGACAGGGTCTCACTCTGTAGCCCAGACTGCCCAGAACTCATAGCAATTCTCCTGCCTCATCACTCTGGGTGCTGGAATTACAGCATGCAAGAGCCACTACACTTAACATCAGTAACTTTTAAATTAAAAAAAAAATAATGAGCCGGGTGTTGGTGGTGCACGCCTTTAATCCCAGCACTCAGGAAGCAGAGGCAGGCAGATCTCTGTGGGTTTGAGGCCAACTTGGTTTACAGAGCTAGTTCCAGGACAGGCTCCGAAGCAATACAGAGAAACCCTGTCTCGAAAAACAAACAAAAATAGTGTGTAGTGTGTGTGTGTGTGTGAGTGTGTCTGTGCATGCAGATGTGTGAGTGTGTCTGTGCATGCAGATGTGTGAGTGTCTGTGCATGCAGATGTGTGTGAGTGAGTGTGTCTGTGCACGCCACAGCTCTGGAGGGAGGTCAGGGGACTCTCAGAGGTCTGTCCTCCCCTCCCACTGTGAGCTCCAGGATAGTGGAACTGAGGTCATCAGGCTTAGTGAGATGTACCTTTACCTGCTGAGCCATCATGCTGGCCCTAATACCAACGTCTTAAGCAAACCTTTTTTTGTGCAGCTTATGCCAGGCAGTTAAGTGTCTGCCCTTGTCATTTACTTGATCTTCCCCGAAGCCTAATGGAGAATTATTCCATTTTGTGTGGATGAGGAAGCAGGCTGAGAGGGGAGTGCACGGCCAACAAGCTCAAGTTCTTATTCTTTTCAGGGAAGATGTGACACCTATGATTATGCTGACTCCGTTCAGAAGTGAACACAGTGCCAATTTGGGGATTAGATGCTGAAATGGTCTACACTTTGAGAAGTTAAAGATCAGCAGAGATTGTGTTTCCCTTGACACTCAAGGGGATGGCACAGGACCAGTTCTAATCTCCCTGCAACAGTTAAGATTCTGTCAGCCCCTTCAGCAACAGCATCCACTTTTGTTTTGTTTTGTTTTTAATCTCCCCATCCACCAGCTCAGCACATTTCTTGAGGACGATACTCCTAGACCCTCTCTCATCCTTCCTGGTGGTAGCTCTAACAGGCCCTGAATAACTGGTGTTTGAA